CAACCCCTATGATTCTATGATAATTAATTTTCTCCTGCTTCCCCTGCACATCTTGTCCCCTTTTTGTCCTCCAAATCCCACTGGAGTCTGGTGCTCCCATCTAGGAGAGAAAAATTATCACAGTAAGAATCTTGAATGTTTGAATTTTGTCTCTTCTGGAAGTTTTACCTTCATTTCTGTTTTCTCCATACCTTACTGGTTTACTATCTTTTCTCCAGGATCAAGAAAAAATTAGTGCTCCATCAGCAACTGGTTTCCTGTCATAGTGTTACATAAACTACTTACACTCGGTCAGCCCAGCCGTACCTGAGGTAAAGCAGGGAGTAACTGCAATGTATATGGTGGAAAGAGAATCCTCAACTAGCTAACTACTTTAATTGGTGGTATTTTCATAGAATGTGGCAAAATACAGATGAGAGAAATAAAAAAATTCTGGAATATGCCTAAGGAATAGAGCTGACACTAAGAAGCTGGAAGTGCCTGACTGATGATAAAACATTTTTAACAGTTAAGAGTCACATTATTGTGAAGAATGTCTGAGAACTTCTGGTGCAAACTGAAGTGGTTTTAATTCCCAGAAATGCTGACTGGCTTTAAGGAGGTATGTGGGAGAGTCCATAACACAGCTGCCTCAGAGACAGGATTCCTGGGTTCTACTTTTGGCTTCTTCCCAAGTCCACCAAACATCCCCCAGATAAAAAAAAAGTTGTTATAAACTGAAAAAACATCACCACATTCTTAAGCGCTCCTGCAGGGAACTTTGCTAACAGAAAGTCACCTCATTATGTTATTTATGTACCCTGAACTAAAACCAAACCAAACTACACTTTCTTTAGGTAAAAAATCACTCGGTGGAACACAAAGAAACACAATTGTGTTATTAATACACTTTAAAAGAAGTTGATACTGGGTAAATTAAACAGCAATCAAATAGATAACAAGTCAAACCAGGCAGGAACAGCAGTCAGAAACAAATAGGGATGTTACCTCCATTTCATACATGGGTGGCCCCAGGATGTCTTTTAAAGCATGGAAATCAATTAAAATCGGCATTTCAGGTGGCAAAGCCAGGTCAGCTGTGTCATTGATGGTTTCTGTTTTTGCATCTTCTGTGACATGCTCTTTGCAATCTAAGAGAAGAAAATCTAATTTAGGATTTTTAGCGGTCTTTCTTGACACAGGAATTAAAAATTGATGACAGAGAAAAATAAATATTCAAAAAAATACTAAGAAAGCTCATGAAAGCATGCTTGAACCATCTTTCACAAAAATCTTGTCAAGTTAAAGATAACACAGCATAAAATTTAATTATTAAGCCTAAACACATCCTTACTGTTCAGCAAAGATGTTAGTCTAGAGCACTGACAAATATACTCTTTAGATAGAAACTCTTCAGATATAAATTAGCCTGACACTTTTGAATACAATATAATCAAGCATGATTAAGAAGGGACCACACAATGCAATAGCTATGGATTCAAAACTGTGCTCTTTCCTTCCTCCATTTATAGTATTAAAATTTCTGTGTTCTCTACAAATATATTTTCTATGCAGAAGTCAACTGTAATGGGGATCATACGAATATCAAAGCTTCAAAATGGTTTTAAACCAGCCTATTATTTGCATGAATAAGCTCAAGAACTTACACATCATTTGTAGTAGGCTTACACTGCACATTTACTTAGGCAACTGTATACAGAAGGAGAATATAAGCAGGAAGTCACTTCCCCACAGAATTTGATCCAGATGCAAAAGGCTCATTACCATTTTCTCAAGAGCCCTAAGCAGTATTTTAGTGAAAGGTATCAGAGAAATGAAAAATACTTGAACAATCCAGAGGTTTCTAAGGTTCTGTCGCAGTTTTATGGCCATGCCTCCCTGACTTGAGGTTGTCATTAAGAAAAACACTGTACACGTATCAAATAGTGAAGATAATTCTTTGTACCACATTTTGGGAACTCACCCCCAGTGGCTTCCTTTCTTCGAATTCATTTTTACTAGCAAGGAAGTAACTGTCTTCCCCTGCACACTAACACATGCCCAATACATTGAAGATCCAGGAATTTAAACAATTATAGAAAAACACAAATCATTATCTCATCTATTTAATATAACATTAAGAGTTGTTCTGCACTGCCAAAGTAGTTTTTAGAGCGGATGAAGAGAGAATGACTATCCTTTCCTTAACCCTGATACATAAAGGCTTTTTACAGTTAATTTGGTCCCAGTGCAATTCTCACTAATGCCTTCATGCAGTATCAAGGAAAACATTCTACATCACTATTACCATAATAGCACCAACTGAACTTTCATTCAGGGTTCAAATCTAATAGTTATCCAACAGGCACTAATCTTTCCATTGTACAACTTATTTCTCCCTGCATAAACCTCATTCCTTTCCTGTAAACACTGCCTTAGTCATGTGGCTCTCCTGTTGTTCCAGCATGTCTCCATATCTTTGTTGAGCTACAGTTTCTGTACATAATAAATTCAAATACATAAATATTAGCAAGCCTCAGAAACATAACCCTGCATGCTATTCTTGCAACTCAGACTGCAATTTGAACACTACAGTTCTTCAAAACTTGAGTAATTTGATATGACAAATCATATTTTAAAACAAAACAGTTTAAAAACAACAGCTTTTGTTCTATATCAAGATTTTTCCACCTAACAAACAGAAGTTTCCATTTGTGCTCACTTTTCTTTCACTTATTTCTACATATACAGCTGAAGAAGACAGACTTTGCATAAACAAATCTGTAGGTAATTTTTGAGGCCACTTGCCCTATTAAAAGAATCAGAAATGCTTTCTTTGAGTGTATATAATTTAATTAGTAGATGCCATTTTACAATTTGTAACAATAACAAACTCCAGACATTTTTCAAAAATATTAACCTAAGTTCTGACATAATCCAATTTTCTATAAAAACATACCAGAGATGTTCCAAATTATAATTACAAACACTAACTTTTTCTTTGAAGGAAAAAACATCTTCCTTTGTCACCTTTATAGAAGTTCTGAATGGGAAAAACCTATAAGGATGCAAGTAATTAACATTTCCATCAATGATGATGAATACATGCTCCCTCCCTATCCCAGATGAATAAACTATAGTACAATTTAAATTACAGATTTATCTACAAAACAGTTAAGTTCAAGTTCCCAGAAACAGAACAGCCTAATCATCTTACTTTTTGAGTTAAGTTGGAGAAATAAGCTAAAAAGTTAAAGAGGTGCCTTTTTCAGAGCTCCATATTACACTGGAGGACCCACTTGCTGATCTACTATTACATTACTGCTTCAAGAAAAGAAGCATGGTACTGAGCTCTTTTAACATTTAAAAATTGGAAAAAACTAAAAAAAAAACCACCCAAAAGGAACAACAAAAACTCCTCTCAAGAACACAAACAAACCCAGAAAAACCAACCAACAAAAGATTATATTAATAAAATTTTCAGAGCAAAGTCTGCAGCTTTGCAGCAAAGATCACAACAATGTTCCTCTGGAATCTTCCTTGGCAAGTTTCCAAAGCAAATCCTTGCATGTAAATACTGGATTTGTAAGAAAATGGACTCCTTAAAAGACATACTGACTATGAACTGCTACATATAATTCAGTATTTAATTTAAAAAGGGATTCCATGCAACATAGACAAAGATTTAAGAATTTAAGACTGCTACTTTCTTCTAGAGATATAATGGAAATCACGAATGGAAGAGCCTAAAACTTGCTCAACATGTAGCAATTTCTCAGCTCCTCATAAAATATAATTAAGCATTTGTAATATGTAAGTCCTAACCCCAGAGATTTCCAGCCATACTTACTGGCCAAGACAGAAGAAGGAAATAGAAACCAAGATTTTTTAAACAGCTTTTAACATACCATATTCTGATTTGCTGAACTGGTATGAAGAGGTATAAGAAAGAACATAAACGTGAAAAAAAAGGGTTCAGGTTTGTGGGCAATTAAAGGGAAAATAGTGTCGTCTTTCTTCTCAGCTGACTGACCAGCAGATGCTTCAGCACATGACAGATAGACTCAGACTTCTTTTAGCCCCTCCAAATTAACTAAAAACTTACAGACTCCACAAAATTACATGTTTCAGTAGTTTGGAGATGAACGGATAGCCGTTGTTGACAAGAGCCCACAATCAAAGCCAGGCATAACATGAAACTATACCTTAAAAGCGACTTTCCATTGTGCAACGTAAATGTTATGCACAACATATGCAGGAAGTATTACTTTTAAAGGATTTTCTTTTGGAAAGGAACACCTTCCTGGGACCCCAATCCTATTAACACTTACTTCTCAAATTTATTGCTACGTGCATTTTTCCCCAGAGGATAAAAAAATGCCTCTTTTCACAAAATAATTATATTCCATCAGTTCTGATCTAGAATAACAACATGCACTTAAAACACTTGAATTTGAGTTTTTCATGCAAGAATATTTAGATAAATTAACACAGTAAAAACATAGTTTGTATATAAACCCATCATTTCATATCATTTATGCTTCTTTGACCTAAAACCAGAAAAGACATGCCAAGCAATTTTTAGAAAGAGGCACCTATTCCAGCCTGCAGAGCTGGTAAGTATCCCAACACGGGCACAGCTGAGCTCAAAGCCGGGTGCCTGCACTCACACCGCTGCGGGATTCACACCCATCAGATCTCATCAAGTCACTTCCCAGTGCTATGGGTGACCCCGTGCTGCTGGGAGTGCCCAGCTTCAGCCAGAACATCGAACAGGTCACTTTTTGCAAGAGCAGCAATGTCAGTCCAGCTTTATTAAGGCCTTTATACATACTAAAACCAAGAAAAACCCCTCCGCCCTGCTATGTATAATAATGTTTTGTGAATAAAACATGTTACCAAGTTGAAGGAGGGAGAGCAGAGACTACATGCTTCAGCTCATGTTAACCACTTTAGTCAAACTTGCATTTAATCTCAAAGACCACAAAGACTGGTTAACCCACAAAGAGTAGAACAAACTCTCATCACATTGCTGGGTTGTAATTTAAGTACTTTCAAAGCCAGGGTTTCAACATAGATATAATACTCATTTAATTGCTTTTAGTTATTGATTATTACTTGCCCTAAACCTCGTCTCAAGTCTGAATTAGATAAACCATTTTTCACTCTGGGTTTTTACTGTTGTAGCACACAGCTGCTGCATCATATTCTCAAGGTTGTTGCACTAAAATAGGAAGGTGCTTTTCACGTATTTTTGTGGCTCCTGTAACAACTTCTAGTGTTAAAGATTAGATGAATGTTTCACAAATCTCAGATAGTGTTTCAGTAAAACATCAGATAGTGTGACTGTACACAAGGATGACTTCCTGGAGAGGTCTGAAAAATTACTCTATTTGCTTTTGCTGAAGTTCACTGTACAAATTCAACAACCAACACAGACTCAGACTCCTCCACTAATCAACTTCACCATAAAGCTCAGAAGTCAAAGCGTGGAAGGCAACACAATGCTGCCAGTGTGCTTCAGTCACGCGTTTTTGGAAAGTGCTAAACACAGCTTGACAGCACATCTCCCAGCATCAGTTCTGCTGTGGCAGGTATCCTCCATTTTCAGAGCCTACTATCAAACAGCTTCAAAAGCCTGAAGTTTACAAAGCCTTGAAAACAGATGCTTCACTTTGAGTTAATCTCATTTAATCAATATGATGATGGAAATTTTGCAGTTCTACCATCTAATATCTTTCAATTTTCATTACAAACCCACAAGACAGAGGGCACATAGCTGACAAATCAGCTAAACAAAACAGGCACCATCTAACTTTTCTGATATGTTACAAATCATATACAAATTATGTTTTAGCAAGTTAAAACCTACAAGGCAAGGCTGCAGCTTGCTCTCTCATATTCACAACTCATGACATATAAATTCTCTAACTGTAGACTCTCAATCCCACATCAGTAACTGAGGAATGTGTAAAGCAAAAATGAATTACAGTCTTTTTATACAAAATAAAGAAAAAATGATCAAGAAATAATTCTAAATGAAACTATTAAGAGACAACTTGATTAACTATTCTTCCAGAGACATTCATTATATGAAAAAAACCCCTCATTATCGCTATGCAGAACTACACAAATATCCACTAATCAACAGGGAAAAAAATTCCAAAGAAATTAATTTAGGCTACAATTCCCATTATTTACATCAACTTGCAAGTATTTGGGAATATTTCTGAGTTTTTTCTCAAATACTCGGTTGTTTCCAACAGACTGAATGAAAACTAAATAATATTTTAAGAAAGTGTCCTACTCCCATAAACTCCAAACAAGTGGCAAATACTGCTAAAAATACAGCAGGATATAAGCATGTTATTAGTACAAAATAAAACACATTTTGCAGACTCCACCATTCTACACGTCTTTGCAATACCAGAGTTTAACTATAGAACCACCTGTTCCTTGGATTCCCTTTCATTAACACAGATTTTTCTTAAAGACAGTTTCAATTCCAGAAGTGCAAAGGCAACTCTTCACAGCTCAGTTCTTCTGGGTTTACTCCAAACTGTATGTCAACCATTTTGCCCCTTTTGGAAGAACTTAGCTTGCTGTTTTCACTTAGCTTTGGTAAATTACAAGTCCAGTGCTAATTTTAACAGCATATAATTTTAACAGTGTAAATACCTAAGCTGCAAGTACAGTGCTAATTTTAACATTGTAAATACCTCTGTCACTAGATTGAGATGTCTAATACAGTTCCTTTTGGTTCTTTGCTTTAATAGTAATATGTTTCTTCTTATAGGTTTAGGAGTTGTGCTCTGAACTCACTTTTAGTTTATTTTATCAGATGGCCTGAAGAGCAGAATGACATTTTTTTTATTCAACAATCACATTAGACCTTTTAAGCACATTTGGACAGAGCTACCATTCTGTGCAAAGAAATACTTTATGACTTATCAAAATTACTATAAAAAAAGTGACAGTATCAAAACCCCCTTATATTGCTTGATGCTGGTAAGCCTGGCCACCACAGCCCAAAAGCTCAGTGTTCTGCTTCAAGAGCAAGTTCAAGTATCACAGAAGTATCAACAAACTCAATGTTTGACTTCAGAACATCCAGCACAGAGCAAACAGACAAGATGTACAGAGTATAAATAGAAAGCATTAGTAAATATGTCTTAAAAGCTCTTCCTTTTAATGTAAACGGGACAATTTAAACTACAGTCATTCATGCATGCACAGCCACTGCTAGTGTGAGAGTTCACATTCTTGAAGCCAAATAATTCAGAAAAAACTAAGCTGATCCATTTAAACAAGCATTGATTTACAGATCAAGCAAAATTTTTTTATATTGCAGTTCCCATAGACATTATGATGATCTTAGCAAACTCAACAAGTTAAAAGAAGATTTCATTTTCAGAAGGGAAACGTGAAGTTAGGAAAAAAAAAGCAAGGTAAAGTTGAAGGACCTATTTCCAGAGACAAATTACAAAAATTTGTACTCCAGGTAAAACTTTTCAACAGACTTACTGAAGTTGGTAAATTACTAAAGCTCCAAGAGACTTGGAATAAGTGCAGTCTTAAAAGCCACATAAAAAGAGCCCTTAAATCTTTCTAATTTCAAAGCTCTTCAAGCAGACATTTATTTTAAGAGTAAAACAAAATAACCAGATTGAGTTCTGAGCTGCTAGAGCATGCACAGCACAGTTAAAGAATCTCTTTCAACACAATAATTAAAGCCATGCTTAGTATTTTATTAGAGAAAGAAGAGTGAAAGATTTGCATAAAAAAAGTGTAGGAAGACATAAAAACATGCACAAAGCATAACTGCAAACCTAAGATACGAAAGAGATCCATTGTACTTCTCAGTTACTGACCTGCCAGGCAGAAATTACTTTGCTTATGGCCCAGGCCACAATTTAGCACTTGAACAATGCATAAAAAGAATGCCAACGTGCAAAGCTTTTAAAAACAGAGCCCTTAAAGAAGCACAAAAAAGGAAGAAAAATCAGCTTCCTAGGGGCTACATTAGAAGTTTCCTTTTTAATAAAACATGCAAAAGATACACACCTTCTCCCTCACCCAGTTCAGCACGGTCTGGCTTTGTTTCTTTGTGCTGTCCCTCTGCCACTTTCACTGCCACAGCTCTGCAGATGGCCCCCAGCCTCCGGTCCAGCGAGCGGACCCCCGCCTCCCTCGTGTACCTGGGGCAGAGGCAACTGCTTTACTGCTGGATGCTCTTTGCAAGGCAGATTTCTTTTGAATGAAAAACACGCCTTTTTAAAATACACCCAAATAAAATGAGACGTGTAAGGCAGTGAGACTGTGGGTTACTCTGATAAACAGGAGAAATATGTCATGCTTTTATCAAAATAATTGTGGGTTTCTGATAAAATTGTAAAGCAAAACAAACTACTGTGTGGGAAGAAGACACGACTAACACCTGGTATCAAACTGGTGAAATGCTAACCACTGTTCCAATAGCACTGAGCTCTTCTCAGACACATAAAAAAAATTTAAGGAAGAACTATTTTCAAACTCAAAATATGGTTTACTGAAAGTTGAGGAACTGACTGTAAGAGTGCTTTAGTCTGTGATTAAAAGGAACACCAGATAATAACATTCACTAAATGCCAAAATGCCATCCTTCGTCATAAAATACTTTATTTCATTTAATACTGATACACTTTTTCCATTTGAAATGAGCTAGTTTCAAGTCCAAATGATGTTCTGATCAATATACTGCTCTCATGTCCAACAAAAAAAGGAGTTGTAATTAATACAAGCTATTTAGAAAAACCACATTTTATTTTTTTAACCTAATTGAATTTTTTAGACAAATGTAGCATACCAAGTCACAAGAAATAAAATGGTAATTTACATTTTTTTTTCTATGAAAATGACAGAAAGAAAGCTCAATTCTTTAAAATAAAGGTTGTCTGCTGCCAACATCATGGCTTCACACACTGAACACTGCAGCACTTCAAGTGTTTCTGTTTACTCATAGTGCCTTGCCCACTGAGTCAACACAACTGATTGTGAGCCACACTCTGAGAGCCAGAGCAAGGAATTCTCTAGAGAACGAAGGATGATTTGGTTTAGATAGCAGAGCCAGACAGAGCTGAGGAAAGAGCAATTCCCTAAATTACCAACTGTTAAACTTCTGAAGCTATTAAGGACAATAGATCTTAAGAAACATTTTGTGTTATCACTTCATAAATGATTTACAAGTTACCAGAAAAAGAAGTTATTTAACTTAAGACAATGAATAACAGATTTACCTGGTAATTATATCCAGTGTGGTTACTTGGGGAATCTGTATTTGCTGTGGAGTCAGGCCATGTTGTTCAAGCTGTTTAGGAATCAAGTGTCTATGTGCAATTTCAATTTTTTCTTCTTGTGTATAACCTTCAAAAGGAAAAGCATATGCTTATTAAACTTTTTGCTTACGTACTACAATATAATCAAATTTCTTAACATTTATAATTGTACCTGATTGAATTAAAAAAAGATCCCAGCTAGAATTTCAAAGGCTGTTGGTATGATACTATGTGGTTATTCATAACTTCATATGAACATGACAGAATAGAATTTTAGTTTTTTGAAGACCCCTTTCCTCATTGGAATCGTAAAAAAGATGCATTAGCCAACAGTCAGTCAGACTACAAACACATCCATCAGTGAAAAATATTGTTACAGGAGGTATCAATGTACCTTCATATACCTGGAACTGAATTTTCTTAAATGCAATGCTAAATTTCATTCTCATGACACAGGCCATCATGGAGGCATCCCAACTAGTCTCTTTCAAGGATTCTGCTCATTCTGTCTAGATTCCTGGCAGGCTTATCTTAAGGAACTGCTTTTCATTTCAGGAAAAACACCTCAGTGCTGTTTAAGGAGTCGCTATAGCCACCTTACTGAAAATGCTGCAGTGTTACCTGGAACTTGAATAATTTCCATTCTGTCCAGCAGAGCAGGTGGGATAGTAGCTGTAGTGTTGGCCGTAGCTATAAAAAGGACTTGGGACAGATCAAAGGCAACATTTAAGTAGTGATCAGTGAAGCTGTGGTTTTGTTCTGGATCCAAGACCTTAACAAGAGTGAACACAAAATTGATGCAGTTGGTTAATTTGAAGCAAATAAGATTCCCTGTGAACCTGTTAAATTGGACTTTACATTCATAAAATACATTATTAATATTACTCAAGCCTGACACTCAATATCCTGCCTCACTCGGATTACTCTGTAAATACATTCCACATCATATGCAAAGTTGTTTCCCCATTAGTTCTTTTTACCCTTTTCTAAAGATGGCTTTAGCGTTTTTTTAATCAAGTACCTCCTGTAAACTATCTCTATGACCTTTCACAGATGGTAGAGAGTGGCCTTTCAAGGACTACCAGCACCCTTGGAAAAGCAGCCTACGTGGTCCCATGGACTTGTAGCAGTAGAAATCTCTCAAGTAATCCCTGACTCCAGTCCTCTGCTGCTGCTGGTAGCTCTTCTTATTCAAAGTACACCAACCTGAAAGATCTCGCTGTGAAGATCAAGGGAAAGAACATAGATTATATCCACCTTATCTGCTGTCACTAAATCACCTGTCCCACTCATCAAATTCTGTCCAGCCTTTTAATACTAATACAGTAGCAGAAGCTCTTCTTATTGCCCATGACATCCTATGCAAGTCTTGAGCCTAGTTGAGCCCTTTGCCTTTCTTTTTTTTTAAATGGAGACAAAAGTACAAAAGGACTGAAGAATAACCCACAGTCTGATCAACCTCAAAATTTTTCTGCACAAGTAAAAATATGGCTTAAATAGAAACATAAAGAAGATGCAGATGACCTTTAAAGGTTGGACTAGATGACCTTTAAAGGTCATCTAGTCCAACCCCCTGCAGTGAGCAGGGACATCTGCAACTAGAGCAGGTTGCTCAGAGCCCTGTTCAACCTGATGCAGAATGTTTCCAGGGAGAGGGCTTCCAATACCTATCACAGCAATCTTTACCAGTGTCTCACCACTCTCACTGTGGTGGTGCAACACATATTTACCTTATATCTAGTCTAAATCTCCCCTCTTTTAGTTTAAAACCATTACCTCTCATCCTATTGCAGCAGGGCCTGCTAAAAAGCCTGCTCCCTTATTTCTTACAGGCCCCCTTGAAGTGCGGAAATGCCGCAATAAGATCTCCTTGGAGCCTTCTCTTCTTCAGGCTGAACAACAACTGGAACCCCAACTCCTTCAAGCCTTTCCTCATGGCAAAGGGGTTCCATCCCTCTGATAATTTCTGTGGCCTCCTCTGGACCCACTCCAACAGGTTAATTTTTCTCTTGTGCTGAGGACACCAGAGCTGGCCACAGCACTGCAGGTGGGTCTCACCAGAGCTATGCCGAGGGGCAGAATCCCCTCCCTCAACATCCTGGCCATGCTACTTTTGATGCAGCCCAGGATACATTTGTCCTACTCAGCTGCAAGGGCACACTGCCACCTCACGCCCAGCTTTTCATCCATCAGTACCCCCAAATCCTTCCTCACAGAGCTGCCCTCAGACTCTTCATTCCCCAGCCTGTACTGATACCAGGGATTGCCCTGACCCAAGTGCAGGACCTTGCACTTGGCCTTGTTGAACCTCACAAGGTTCACATGGTCCTCCTTCTCGAGCTTGTTCAGGTGATAACAGTATTTTCTTCCTATTGTTTTTAGTACTACTTATATAGTACACTTTATCTTCCAAAATGATGAATTATCAATTAATAATTCTCATGTTACAAATAACAGGACCTATGCATCTCCTGAGAAATTGCACATGGCTGTCAAAATAATTTATCTGCCTATAGCCAAATGAATTCAACCCTTGTCTTAGCAACTTGAATTATGGCCAAGAACAGTGTTGATAATTCTGAACAATTGCATTTGAGCACTTCTTAACTGGTCATGAAAGAAACAATGCTGAATTTTCATTACTCTTAAATTCTGTTCAGTCTTTGAAAAGTTAAAAATCTTTAGAACAGAAATGTTTTATGATCACAACAAATTAGAGAAATTTTTTTTTACAAAATGACAGAAACACAGCAGAACATTTTTAAAAACAGAGCTATTTCTGATTTTATTTTGAAGTACTGCACAGATTTAAGACTAATATTTGCAAATGTATTGTGACTGTAATAAAATACAAGTTATATGTTCCCCTTAATAGTGAAATCTCAAAACATGCTGAAGCATATGCCTAAATTCTAAACCTCAGGTTGGAACTCGGTGAATGCTGTTGTTCATTGGCTATAAGCTATCCAAAACCTTCTTTTCTTACCCTCTTCAACAGGCAGCTGATATAACTTAGTGATGAAGGCATTTGCCTTCATCAGTATCCTAACTAGCCAAGTACACTGATGCATAATTCAGCTATAGATACTCTTACCTCAACTAGTCCTACAACGCAGGGTGCTACAACAACAGGCAGTGTACCCAAGCACAGACAAACTGTCTCCAGTGGAAGGAGATCTATACTGAATATTAGTCTCCCATTGAAAGTTTAATATTGCAAATTTTTAAAAACTTGATTTAAACAGTAAATCCTGTTGTTTTGGGTTTTTTTTTTTTTTGACCTGGATAACACAGTATCTCCACAAAATTCCAGTCTATCAGCTGAAGCATTTGCAGCTACTTCCAAAGATGTTGAAAAGCAATGTATTTTGACAGAACACTTTGGTTATTTATAATATGTATCTACGGGCATGTCTATGTCTCTCTCTCTCTCTAGTCTGCAATTAGAAATTCTTATAAATCCTACTAAATGCTTAGCTGGTGATGGTGACATTTACAAAGAGATACAAAATATAGCTGTGCTAATTTGCAAACAATAATATCCAAATAAAAGTAAAGGAAACTGTAATCAAAGCTAACTCTGATTGTATCTAAAAACTGTTAATTATCTAAGATTTTCTACAAGGGCTAGAGTTTCTCTAGACCAATAAATCTTTATCATAGTAACTATTTCTCAGAATAAGGCAGAAAACAATATCACACCTATACATCTAAAACAGATTGTCCAAAGCAAATAGACCTGTTCTTCAGATAGGTATCTGTGCTAAAGTTCACGCTCAAAAGTTTTCAAAGATATTGAGCTAATACAAAAATATGAAGTACAAAATGAACATTCAGTGAACAAAATATCTTAGTTAATTTATGGCTGACAGCTCACACAGATACAAAGCCGTCTCTGTACCAGCTTTTTATTACCAGAAAAAGCACAATAAGTTCCATGAACATTTAATTGCCTGGCTATGCTCCTGGTCTAATTTCCCTGCATACAAATACTCACTATCAGGCACTTGGATCCATTTCTGTTTTCTTCTGTTTTAGACAGAGGTCATCTAAATTTAGACTAAAACATTCCCTTGTTGATGAACAGTAACTGGAAATAGGAAGACATTCTGTTTGGCTTAAGCAACAACTCTGCAGAAGTATTAGAACTAAATACTTATCTGGCAATTATAAAACATCAAGATTTGCTTCCAAGCTGATAGGGTATGGCAATTTTCTTCCTGAATATATCCCACTGTAAACAGTCAGTAAGAATTTAACACACCTACACATTAAGGAAAAAAGGATGTCCCTTTAATACTTAATGATGGCTCTTACCAAACAAGAAGCAGCCCTCTGAAAAACAAACATGCCAGTTAGGTGACCACTTACTATTGTTTGTTGTCCTACATAATAGTCAACTTTGCTCATTACAGATGGGCTTTCCAACAGTATAAACCATAAAAAACAGATCAAAATTAAGCAGTTATGTCCAGGTATGAGTTCTGCATTAGAAGAGGTAAAGCACCTGTTCCAGGATGTTTAGACAGCAGTAGAGACATATATAGACCTCACATGGGAGCAGCCCAGACACAGTTAATAGAGCAATTGTTTCACCAGATGCACCTACTGGTCCATTAGCAATGACTTACATAAAGACTGCAGCCCAAGCAGACAGTTGGAAGGTAACCTGACGAGCTTCCACTGGAATAATCCATGGCAGAAGCTGAGCTGAATATCACTGAGAATGTGGGTTTAAAATATGGAAACCAAAACCACCCCAAAGCAGCAACAAAGATAAAAAATTCAAATACAAATAATGTCAAAAAAAAAAAAATTGCCCTCACACTCTTGATCTGACAGAAGAAGGACAGAAATCTTAATTCTCTACTGCAAGACATGGAGTGGAAAATAAATCAAAAGAAACAGCAAAGGCTGAATAAAATTAATAATATTTATGTATAGATCTGGATTAATGGTTGGACCACTTCCAAAAGAAGTTATTATCTTTCCAAAGACTACAAATCATTGCATCATTACTGATTTTGACTGCCTAGTGAACAAAATACCTGAAAATGTCAGCTAGGTAACAAAATGTGATTTTTAGGTACGTTTTATCCATGCATTGACTAGATTTAGGCTGCCTTAGTTCAGTATCTAGAAGAGAACTAACAGAATAAGTATCAGCAAACTCAAAAACAGAGCTCATTACCATTAACAGCAAAGAGTAAATAAAATCCTGCATGTGAAAAGTACAAATAAAATGCATTTGAGCATTTGTTACACTCCTCTACTTGTTTTCCTTGCACTTAGAGGCATTTCATGTGCCTTATAGAAATGTGCATGACACACTTGAGAAATACACAGGTAAGGGACCATAAATGTAATTTTTAAAAGCTAAAAAACTGAAGCCATGGCATTTTCTAGCACATTCAAATTATTACTAGTTGATGTTAACATGCAAAGTCAAAACAGAGCTCTCAAACCATAGCCTGTTCATACACCGATTTTCAAAGAACTAGTTGGCCTTGTCAAAACAGTAATTTTACACTATCTAGCACAGAGAAAATAATGACATTTATGGAATGTCAACTGATATTTCATTTGCAGAAAGTCACAGAGCATACAGATACTACTTAAGATGTCATGAGCTTATTTTTTCATATTCAAATCACTGTTTGACACACCGTCAGTCAAAAAGAGTCATTAGAATGACTCTGTAGGGAAATATTACCAGAACTATTTTAATCTCCACCTACAACCACCCAGCTACAGAAGTTACTACACCTTAAGTCTGACAACTGAGATGCTTCTAGGATTATACCCTAAATCATTTCAGTAAAAGTGAGCCAGGCTAGCTCAAAAAATATGGATAAAATCTTTTACTAACCCAATTCCTTTTGACAGAAACAGGTAAAGAACAATCACAGAAGCAGTTCAGCTGAAACAATGACAGGATGGTAGCCTCTACAGGCAGACAGAATATAAAAGAGAGGTAGACAGTGTAAGAACCCAGCAGTATAAGGAAATGCTAAATGTGCCCAATAACAAAGCCATTAAGTGTGCTAGTGCTACATCTGCTCTGGACAACCTCAAGCATTTCAGCCTAGCCCAGCCTCCCTGTGCCACTGCCTTCCTCATTCCCTCCTTTCCTCATCATCGGAGCAAGCACAGGAAAATGTACACAGCGTTCGTAACTAGTATGCTGAGGAAGGGCAGTGCTCTTTGCCTCTTCGCCACACCTGAGGAGATGCTCCTCCATCTCTCCAGAAAACTGCTAGAATAAACCCATTCAATATGCAATTCTTCAGTGGAATTCTTCAGTGGAAGAAGGATTAGTAGTGAGATAACATTGTGTATCATACAATGAATGAAAAAGCTGACACCGCCTTGCTATCTTTTGTCCAGCGAATCTTCCTTTCCCAGTCCAGTATATTAATTCCTTTTAATGACAAATGAAACAACGCTTGCAATTTAACATCTCTTACCTCAAGCAAGGCTGCTGCAGGATCCCCCTGCAAGCTCTTCCCCAGTTTATCCACCTCATCTAACAGGAATACTGGATTGTTAACCCCAACAGTCTTCAGTCCATTGATTATTCTGCCAGGCATACTGCCAACATAGGTGCGCCTGTGAGAAATAAGGGGAAAGAGGGGCCAGACATGTTTAACAGGAATGGAAACATCAAAAATAAAACTCAAGGAGAATATAAGAATAAGCAGTATTGTAAAAGTCTTTGGGATACACATCTGAACTAACATAAGCAATTATATCAGCAGATGAAAATTGCAGTTCCATGGTGCACTTGTTGGTCTGGAAAGGTAAACATCTGCATTGAAGTGTATCCAAACTTTCTGGCTTGCAGGCGTTTTGCATAATTCTGTACAAGCATCCTTATACTGTATGAACAAGCAGAAGTAGATTTGGGAATGTCATTAATATTAACATTTTCATCACAATACTGGGGTTTTGTCATCAGAACAGAGTTCACACAGCATGTTACAAATGAGAGCAAAATTCCGAATCTGCTGAATTGTCAATGTCCCCTGTACATACAGCATGTTTTAATTAATACTCATACACAAAACTGCATTTGCTATGTCATTTCAACATGAAATAAAAAACTAGCAGTGCAACAGCATAAAAATTTATGAGTATAAGCTTATACAGCAAAGGTAGCAAACCCTCTTTTTCACAATGCACAGAGCAACTACTCTTTACATTCATACATAACCCACATTTGCTACATTTATCACAGCTTTTTCTGCTTGTCCCATAACTAAATACAAAACTGTAATTAATAGCATGAAACGCTGGTTGCTCAGGATTAAACAAGTCCACGGAGTGCTGAATTACAGCACCTATCTCATGACCCTCACAAAGCAGATAGGCAGAAGAGGCCTGCTTTGCCATATGATCTATTTTAACACAGTCCAAAATAAACAGGATGACATTTAGAAAGATGAAACCAAAAATGCCATGGGAGCAATTTCAAAAGAGACAAGAGAAGACTTTAAATATTAAAAAAAAAGCCAACTCAAACCATACAGCAACAGGGTTAGTTCCATGTAATATTTAACCACCAAGGGAACAAATTGCAGTTACAGTATTTCGTTCTAAACCTGAGAAATACAGAAGTTTTAAAGTTTTTCTAGATAGCCAGAAATGCAACAAAATTCGTTTGCCTCTTACCGCCTTTGTGACAGGTGCTAACCGCTGGAGCAGCCAGCAGGCAACAGCTTATCACCTCACTGCTCTCCTGCAGCCTTGCTCTGCAGCGAGGGAGCGGCTTCCCCTCCAGTGAGCATCGCGCCATATAACGTTTATTACAGACCAAGACTCTGCACAGGGGAGCTATTATGCTGGCGTGCCACTTCATTCTCCATCTGCACACAGCCAACCTTGCCAAAAGAATGAAAGGGCTCCATAAAATCCAATCAGAAAATTACAAGAGCGGAGCAGAACTGAAGCTCACAGAAGTCAATCATTTCCCAGTGCAACCAAATTAATCACTGTAGCAATCCGGGAGCTTCTTTGGGTGGTTTTCTTGGTTGTTTGTTGGTGGGGGTTTTGTTGTTGTTACTTCTGAGGAGTTTTTAACAGGAGGTGCTTAGTGCAGTAGTAAATTTCATATGCTTCAGAGACAATGCAGTCTGTCTGGTTTTAATATTCTATTTATGCCAACAATAGGATAACAATTAGGTAAACATTAAATAGTCTTCTTTCTTGCTTGGTACATGATTCTCAAGTGCATACTTAAAGACATCACACTTTTTTAATGCACGTTTGGTTTTATAGACACAAAGTTTTATCGGATCCTTTTAAATTCTGTAACATCTTGAGATATCTAAGTTCTACCTAGTGTTAAGAAACAGCTTTGGTTTATAAACTAAATTAAGGTAAACTGGGCTTCTTCAGTCAAAGGAAAGCACTGTGAATAATCACTTTATCTCCCTGCACAATCCAATTGCAGTAACACAGGTCAAAGGATAATAAGTGTTAGGTATCCAAAGGTTTTCTGAATAATAAATCTGTTTATACCCATGCAAACACACACCACTTTTTCTAAATAGAAGCACTTAAAAAAAACAAAAAAAAACAAAAAAAAAAAAAAAAAAAACACAAAACCAAACCAAACAACAAAAACCCAAAACAAACCAGGAAGATATTTTTCTTTCATGAGATGCAAAAAGGCTGTTGTTGTTAATAGAAATACATTTTTTTTTCCCCCTAAAACAACCCTAAATATAGACTTCAAGTCACTGTCACTTTAAATTCAAGTAGGTTTGGATTTTTAATAACACATTTACACATGTGGAAGATTCTCAGAGATATACCATGTCCCAGTAAGACTTAACTGTTGTACACAATTAAGTCTCTTAACATTTTAAAATAAACCATACACGAGGTAGGTTGAAGCACAGCGTACCAAGATTTGTGGTGAAGAAAAATCAGAAAAAAGAAAATATACACAGTACAACTTATGACAAGTCAAGTGAGATCAATACCTTGGAGAAATACAATTTTAAGAACATAAAAATTAAGTGGCTTCTAAAGCAAGCAGTAAGAAAAACATTCTATCAGTGACAGATTTTTTTTTTTGAAACGTACCCTGTCCAAAGTAAGCCTTGTGTCATGAGCTACTGTACAAAAAAAAAAAAAATTAAGAGAAGCCGCAGCCCAACTGAAACAGAAACTTAAACACTGTTATGAATAGGATGAAATGGTTTTCTACACAACCCACGAGTTCTTCAAGAAATTCCAAAGTCAAAATTAAAGCAACTATTGTTGGAAATATGGAACCGTTTGACAAAACATTCAGTCTCCACAGAATTAGGGAAAACAGATGAGAAAAGTACAGAGTGGCTAGAAATATTCTGCTCATCCTTTCACTACATGACAACTGACTATTCTCACTCTTCCTCTCTTGTACTGTCTATTTCTCATGTGTATGTTCGATAATCTCTAGACATGATAAATCTAAATAACTAACTCCAATATAAATGTCATGCTTAAGTTTATGTAATGTGTCAGGTATCACAAAGTAGAAACCAGGACTATAAATTTTAGGATATCAAATACCTAGATATCCATTCACTCTTCCCATGTGTACCAATCTAAATCTGTGATGCATTTCCATTTATTAAAGATGGGCAAATACCTACTTTATAACACTATCAAAGACTCAAAATCTCCAAGGCAAGTAAAGAATGCTAATGCAAGTGGCATATATGGGATGACAAAGAAGAATAATGTAGTTATTTTACTTTGAAAATATAAATGCAGGTAGCCTGTTTTAATTTTTAAGTGGTTACTATGAAACACATCACAACAAAAAGAGTCCTTGGTAAGACAGACCCTACAGATATTTATATAATTTTAATATATTCTAGTGGTTTTATATAAGTGGATATGGCCATTTATCTGCTTGGACATTAACCTCTACCTTGTAATTTGTGAAACTGAATACTAGAACAGTTTGTGAACAGTAGCCACTGAATGGGAAGTTACTCTTTATTTTCATTATTTTATCTAGGGTTGAAAGAAGGAAAATCAATATTCTGTATTAGCATTTTTTATGATATAACGTTGCTTTCCTCATTTTTTGATGTGCTGTTTCTCTCCATACATTAAACCTAGAAAGAGTCAGCTGCTTTCCATTCAAAACAGGAAGTACAGATCAAGTTTCCTAGTTACATCACTTGCATAGTAACAACTGGGAAAAAAAAACAAACCTTAAGAGCTCATGCCATAGAAGGTCTGTAACTTAGTAATAATTTTATTTATTTTTAAATTAGTGAAAAGGTATCTTTAACACACAAGTAGAATTGGTCACCACATCATTAGGAGCTATGTGCCCTAGAAAATGCAAGAAAGACAGCTGGGAAATCTAACCTTGTCGGCTCTCCTAGTGTAAACTGGGAATGTATATTAATAGGAATTTTTAAAGCTGTACTGTATTCCTGATAAAAACACGACTCACTTTCTTCATACTGTTCTAAAAATAAAAGTTTTAAATTATTTTTAACTACCGTGGTTTTCAAACATCAGAGGTAGGAAAAGGTAACGAAGTTAATGCCACCAAAGAAACTATTTCTAAACTTGGTTGCACAAGGTCAGATATTATTTTTTCAAGACCAGAGGTTGTCATCACACACGTGCTTACGAATGAATCTATCCTTTGTACTTGTATAACAAAGCTATTCCTCCCACAAGTGAAGCTGCTGGAGGATTGCTTTCTTCTAGTGCAAAAAGGCCTGTGCCGTGAGCTGCGAGCGTAATTGTACTGGTGAGGAATCACACCTTTCCTCACACACAAACACCTGAACAAGTCTTCAGCACAAGCCTAAGCCAGAAGTAAACCATCCAAACTCCTAAAAACTGAAAAGCAAAGGTAACATACGACAGAGTGCTTCTCATGGAGGTGAAAGAGAGAAAAAAGAGCTTCACGGTGATCTCATCAGCACCACTATAAATAAACGGCACCTTTCTTTTTTAAAAACAGAAAACCACACACATGCAACTGAGAAGATTATATAGTTCCTGTATAAAACAAAGTATCAATACTGAGGAGATCTTAAATGCACTGAGCTTCTTGGAAAAAGTTCTAAGTTGTCTTTCAGGGTGGTTTAGTTTTTTTTAATTTCTTTTTTTTTAAAATACAAGTTAACAACAAACATAAACAGCAAACTTTAATGGGTATAGGTGAATGGTAAAAGCAAACAACAGCCAGAGGATGTCTAAAAAAGCACTCCTGTTTTTGTACCAACACGATGATTTCATTCTGGGACTGCAGAACAGTAGTTGCTACTCTTCACCCAATCAAAAGAGGCCTCACAAACCGCTGCTGCAGGCACATGACTGACGCTGAAATGGCCAAACCCAGGCACTTCCGGCTGCCCTAATTCCAGCCCGCAGGGAGCCGCTCACCCCCCAGCCCCGCGCCCCGCCCTCCCGCCGCCTCACTGCCTTCATCGCGCTCACTCAGCTCACCACTCTGCATCTTTCACCTACAGCAGGCCTAAGAGGCCAAAGTTAATGCCATTTCAGGCACTGCTTGCTTGCAAGTGAAACTGAACCACGTTTGAAATAGTCTAGTACATTTACTACATTTTACGTTAAAAAAAAAAAAAGTTTAGTATATTAGTAGACACATATAGTATCATTCTTCAGAAATGTGAAATGTTAATGGCATCTTTAACTTAAGGCTTAAAGGCTAATAAGGAGATTTTAGGCAGAAAGGAATGGCCCCTATCATCTAATATTAGAAAATCAGCCAACTAAACAGTAGAACTCTGAGAACAACAACCTATGTCTCCCCCACTTTTAAACCACCTCTGCAATTCCTCTCTATGACCGACACCAGATGCATGACATAGATTCACTTGACAGGCAATAAACTTAAGGATTTATTCACGCAAAAGGTCATGACAGAGAGGGGTCTATGGGAAAGCTGTAGTTTTAATCTGGTTAAGTCTTATTCCAAGAAGCAGAAAAGCAGAAAGAAAAAAAATGAAGCAGAATTTGAAAAACAGTATGCAACAGTTGGTTTTGATTTTTATCTACAAAATAACTTGCAAAAGCTCTTGGAAACAAGGGACTCCTAATACTTACTGCTCTAAAGTTTGTTTCTAAACTATACACTTGTTTGTTGAAAAATAACCACATGATACTCTTGCCAATTCTAGATCATATTGGCCTTGCTAATGAAAAAATAAACTGTCTTATCGAATGCTTCCCTTCAGTAATTTAAGTAAATTTTTCATATGACATAATGGTTAGTTTCTAACTTGCATTAATAGTTTAGTAATGCCCTCAAAAATACTACAGTGGCAGCCACAAACATCTGCATTTAAAAGTTTTTAAAAGACTCATTACCACGTAACTCTAGCTGTCTTTACTCTTACTAGGTTTAAGCACAAGATAGAAAGCCAAACAAAACACAATAAACCAAAAAGGAAACCAGTACAAATTGCAGGCAATTGAGTAAGAGTTGACAATAGTTTTACTTTCTTCGCCATGTCAATTCCAGAGTGGTTTCCCTGTTACAAAGCTGCAGTCCTGCTCTGCCCTCCATAAAAAGTAACTTCTGTCTATCATGTTAGTATTTAACAGCCTCTAGTGGTTTCGCCTCGAATGGCATCATGTTGCGGAATCATATAATGAACTGGTTTTAGGATCTATGCCGTTAAGTAATCTGATCAGTGACTAACAATACAGTTTATGAATTACAGGAATAATATGCAGTGAAAGAGAACAGAGTTTCACTTCTTTCTCCATCAGCGTGCAAGTAAATGGGTAAAAGGGCCAGCTATTACAAAGGTTTAGATCAAACACACATGCATCGAGTCCTGCTGCATAGTAAAGAACATGTTAAAGCAGGTGTATCTACAAAACCCCAGTAGCTGTTGGGATGTTGACCAAAACTACACCAAAAAAAAAAAACCTTACAGATCGCTCATTTCAACCTACAAACTCTAGGTAAGTGTTAACCACTCTGGAAAACAAAAATCCTGCAAACTCACCACAGAAGAATGTGCACAGTAATAAACACATATTGCTCATTTTACCAAGGGTGTTGAACTAAAGGTTTACAAAATTACTCTGGATTTTCAAGCTAATATTAAGTACAACATCCCTGTCATGTTGCCTTTTCATCTCTCATATTACTGACCACTTCTTAGACCAGAACATATTATATCCTAGGTTCCTAGAAGAACACAGTATTTCAGATTCTTAGTTTATGCATATGTTCAGCACAAGACTTCCCAGTGAGTATCTCACGTGCCTTTCAGGACTGTGAGCTTCCACCACTCTGATGTATTTACACACGCACTAGCTTTCAGAGTCAGAAGTCTGATACTCAAAAAACGGACCTTTATCAAGGCATTTAAGTTTTCATTCAAATTACACAGGGAAGTGATAAGAATACCAAGGTCCTTTCTGTGCCTTGAAATAAAAAAGAAATTACAGAATAACCTGGAACTGAAGAAAGAATAACAATGTATTTTGATGCTTCAAAGTAGCGGTATAGCCATTGGACAAAATTAACTGCTATGTGGCATCAAAGAAATAACCGATAGCTTTCATTCATAACATTCTACCTACTGTTGCAAGGAGGTATTTTATTCAGTAACACATCTTGAAAAAAAGGAAAAACCCCACACAGTTTTACAGCTCTTTAGAATGTTAACAAAGTCATTATTCCGCATTTCCTACACAGCATGCAATAAATATAAAGTGTGTTTAATGGAACCAGAAAAGCTGTACTGATGTGTGTGGCAATCCCTTCTCTACCTTACACATTCATTATGCTTCCAGTTGCAGGATGGGAAATGGACCATTATAAAGAAAAGGTTATGATACAGGAAGAGATGCAGGAGCAAAAGAAAAAAAGGTCCTAAGGGAAGTCACTCAAAAAATCTCCTTAGAAATCTTCCAGTTTGGGAGTCCTTATATAAACTACTTTTTGAAATGGGAAAATAGCACACTAACAAGTTTGAGATAGTAAGTAGCTCACTTGCTATCCTCTTGCAACTTTTAAGTATCACCCAGTTTATCCTCCTGTTTTAGCAACAACCATGGTTACAAGCTATTCATAGGCTTTTCGTATAACTGTATCTTTACATCCTAAAATGTACAAAAATCAGCACAAAGATTTATGAATTTACAATAGACTTTCTAGTGAATTTTAATTCAAAGTGCCAAAATGACTGACGGTGAAATTCCATTTTCCTGTATGACAGTAAAAGGCAGCAGCAGAAGGAAAGAATAAAGGCTGTATCTCAACTCCCAACATTCATAACCATTACCAAAACTCTCTCCTGCATAATGCCATTGAATACCAAGAAATATCAATGAGTAACTAACACTGTTTGAAATAAGCAAAATTTCTCTTATTAGCTAAACAATGAAAATAATACATTCTGTAAAAAAAAAAATTAAATAATTGCAATTACGAAAGGAAGTAGCAGTTACCTGTGGCCTCGAATATCAGACTGATCACAGACTCCTCCTAAAGCAATTCTGTGGAACTCTCGACCCAAGGTCTTTGCAATTGATCTTCCAACACTAGTTTTACCAACTCCTGGGGGCCCCACAAAACAAAGAATGGGTCCCTTGAGCTTATTTTTAAGCTGTCGGACAGCTAAGTACTCCAAAACTCTCTTCTTCAACTTCTCCATAGCATAATGATCATTATCCAAAAGAATTCGAGCTGCACGAATTTCGAGGCGATCTATCAATCATCGACAACAGAAAAGGTATCAGCACCTTCACATTTAAAAATGGCAACAATTCATTCTACACTACAATAGAAACAGTCTCAAACATGTTCATCAATGCAATCCCCCGACACGCTCAAGTATCGCACAATGTTTTCCAACAACAAAGTTATTATAGTTCTCCATTAATAAGGAAATTAGACACAAGCTAGACTGGTCACAGTACCAGTAATGAAATTTTTAAAAACTCACCTTTTCACTGCATCACAGATTGAAATAACTTTCAAATGAATTAATTTACTGTCTATTCTAGAACAGCTGTTCAGTGATAAGCAAATTTTTAAGTGTTTGATTTCTTACAGAAGGGTAAGCATGATCCCGTAAGGTCTTCTCAAAAGACATGTTCATCCCTGCGTCTTCATCACATACTTATGATGAGTCTGTAACTACCTCACAAACAGAGCACAAGCCAAACTTATTGGCTTGAAGGGTAGGCTTTCCTTGCTATGAAACAAAATGATTTGGCACTCCAAAAAACACTGATGCGATACTAGGACTGGAAGAATTAGTTGTCTGCAATTACCATAATTTGAGATAAATGGGCAGGCCTCACCAATGGACATTAACCAACGCTTTAAACAGAACAGGAATTTCTAGCACAAAGCAGCTGTTCTCTTTGCTCTGCAACTTAGAGTAGCCAGGAAGCAGTGAAGTCTATTGGTAAACTCTGCATGCACCCACTCTTCAAATCCTATGGGTTGCAGATGCAGACCCTTCATCCCAGCAAGCGTGCTTATTTCACACGCAGACAATCACCCTTACATTCTCATCAACTGTGTAAGTCTTTGTAACAAACCATGGAATTAAAAAATTCACTGATTACCAACATCTTCTACTGGACTTTCTATTTTGTAGTCACATATATTTTTATTAGCTGTAGTGACAAACTTTACAACTTCGCTTAAAGAGGAAACATCAAACGACATGTAACATGGTATCATTTTACAAGATTAAAAACCAACTTTCACAAAAAAATTATTCAGCTAGAACATGAATGTCAACGAATACTTTACTCATTTGGGGATTCTTTGGATAACAACAGAGATCTACAAAGATCTGTAGGCAGATCTTTTTGCAGTTTAATGACTAAAGAAAATATTTACAAGATTTGTAAATGTCCGAGGCTCTAGTTCAAAATGGCCAAAATTCATCACCATGCACACTAAGAAGGCAAATGATAAGCAGACATTTCTGCTGCTGTGGTATGTTAAGTTTCTTTTTAAAATCAGATTGTTAAAAATCTTGTTCAAAACTCTCATTCTTCAGGAGCTGCTAGCTGCTCTTCTCCAGCAGTATACCTTCTGGAACGCAATTTTGCCCAGTTGATCTACTTGTGTTGGTTCATAGGAAAGGTCATATTTGGTTCTCCTCTCTTTCCTCACATTTTTGCATGCCGTTCCACATTAACAGTATCACTCTCTACTCACAACTTCTGAAAACTATGGTAAAAAGCTGACATGGTACTCAGTTTTTTTATTGTACCTGATGTTGTAATTACTGAAATTAATTACAACTGTGCTGTTTCATCCTTTTGTACCTTGCCAAATTTCATAGATTAACTTAGGACACACCAGATCTTTCTTCAGGAAGATTAATGCTATAGAAATGTACGAAAGCTTTTTTGTCCGACATATAAAAAGTAATTAGATGCTCATTTCTTCATTATTTTAGATACATGCTAGCACAGAATGTAAGTAATAACACCTCAGTTTTCCTGTGGAGATATTCCTAGTACTTCTAAAATTCACATTCTTAGATGTACAGGTGAGTTACACAGGCTATTCAGTACACATATTTTACTTTAAGCCAGGTAGACTATAAGACTTCAGTAGCGTATTAATGACATCTTTACGACCACACAATGAGACAAACATTTGCATGAGAGAACTAAGTACACAGTGTTTACATGATGGTTACATGTCCTAAAATGTCTGTGTAAGAGACAATTAACAATAACAGATGAGTTTACCTTTTGTACTCTTGTTCCATGGCAATTCTACCATCAGTTCCAAATAATTTCTTGTCAAAGCATATTCTGGCATTGACTGAGGCATCTTCTTTAATCTGGAAATATATGCTCAGAATTCATAAGGCTAACCAGGAATTAATTGCAAAGCAACTTTCCTGCATCCTGAGACACATATTTAGCAAACTCTTACTTTCTGACAACCATAATACTAAAAAAAGCAAGTACCTACCCAATCAATTATGAGACCTTCTTTGCACAATGTTAGGTTATTTATAGGATACAAACAGAAATGAAAATGCATACACCCTGCATACACCACTGTATACACAACCTCACTGAAAAAGAGGTTGCTAAATATCCTATCACCAGGGATAGCAGTTATCCTCTCAAAGGAAAACAGAAGGAAAAAAGACTCAATAACTAGGTCAGTTTATTCATTAATTATCAACAACTGTGGCAGTGTTTAGCTTTTTTTTTTGAGCTTCATAACATAGAGGAATTGAGCTTACAGTCTAACGTTGTATTAATGTAGAACTTTGTGCAACTTTATGAAATATGAAGACTTCATATTTCTTTGTCATCACCTTTTGTGTTCCAGAAAGATGAAATGATGAAATTTTTAAGGAAAAAAAAAAATCACACCACTAAATTAAAAAATATCATTTCCAAAACACAGCCAAGACAAACATATCATCAAAGAAGAAAAGGTTAATGCAAGATTTGTTTTAAAAAATGAAATATAAGAAGAAACTACCTGAAAATCTCCTACCTCTTTATTTCCTTAAGACAAACTTTAAGAGCTTGCTCCGACATACTGGATGTTCTAATCTTTTTTTCCAGCATGACGACATCATCATGATCTTCTTCCTCCTCCTCATCTTCTGTAGTGCTTGGAATGTGATTGATTCTTCTGTTAGGACGAATAGCTACAACCTATGAAATGGAAAACAGAGCCAGAGAATAGTAGCGGGTTTTATCTATAAAATAAGGTGTGTACTTTGGCTTTGAACTGAAACTCTAACAAAACCATGCACCATGCTGGGCAAGCCTCCTTCATAAACAAATTCTGAAGATTTTAATATAATAAATAACTTCACAAAGTGTTACTGGTACTTCTTTAAAAAGTTACAGTTCTCATTTTATTGTATGTATTTCTTAAGTGCATTTATCATATACCCTAAACTAGCAGACAACAGAAAACAAAACTGAAAACAAAACAGAAAAACTGTGATTTTTCTGGGCACTGCAGCCCACCACATTAAGCAGAACAAGCCTAACCTTTACAAAACAGGTAAGTCTTCTCTCTTACCTTTTCCATTTCTCAGTTACTTCAAAACTATTACTAAACTGTGCAATTACAGTTAGATGCAGCAAAAGCATAAGCTGCACTAGTATAACAAACTACATTTTACAACTAAACCATTTTATTTAACCACTGTATTTCAAGAGCTATCATTCACCTTCAATGTAATTAGTAAAAGGTACACATTTCACTGCACAGGCCAAAACTCATTGTGTGCACACCATGCAAGTAAACTGGGCATCAGATGACTCTTCAAAGGAACCTTAGCATTTATGCAATAACAGAAAGTACTCCGACTGAAAATAAATAAAACCTAGGTAGTTTTAAAATAGGTATCTTAAATTGCCAAAGGTGCCATCTCCGCAGCTCCAGACTGCCCATGAAACATTATGGCCATCGATTAAATTTTACACAGATTAAAATCACTCATGCTGATTAGCCTGTTTGAAAGTGCATCTTGATACTTATCTAGGATCCTTAAGTATCCTACATTTAAAGGTCCATACCCTTTTATCATCATCCTGTTTGGGCTTTCTTGTTTTCTGAAGCAGCTTCAGGCCTTCAATTTGTCTGACAAGCAATGGTATAGTCATCTTGAATCGTTCTTCCAGCCTAACAGCATCTAAAATCTAAGAGCAAGGAGTTTTAAGTAGCCAACAAGTTCACACTGATGGATCATCATTTTGTACACAGAGGGTACAGTTACTGCCTTTTGACCAGAATTAGAAAATAGATGGTTTATGAAAAAAGGTAGGAAGAAAAGCAATGAGCTGTACCAAATGTCTATCAGCATTCTATTTTTCCACTGCTGAGCCTCAGGAGAGAGCTAGCCCTTGAAGAACGTTATAGCGTGGTCTCCTTGGTCAACTCAGAAAAAAAAAATTACCTTGTGCCTAAAGTTTTTGTTTGTTTGGGTTTGGTTTGGTTTGTCTTTTTTAAATTTTATACATTATTTCACTTCCTCGTTTAATGAAGTTGATATGTGGAAATGGGTAGAATCTGGCTCTCCTGTGTTTCCACAGATTCCAATGGCCACTCTTTTCTTTAGCACTTCTAATAATAAAAAATAAAGGACATGCCAAATTTAATGACTAGTGTAGCCTTCCTCCAGGCAGGATATTCAGCTATAGTACACATCTTCAGTTTCATATTACTGTAAAAATACCTATTTTTTGTGCTTTGAAAGAACCTAACTTACACTTCCAATTCAAAGTTGAACATGCAGCATTGACAATGACAAAAGGAACAAAAAAAAACTTCCGAAAAGAGCAAGCAAATAGAGAAATCACACTAGTAAGCATGGAGTCATAAGCATAATTTCTGCAGTTATTTTGACACACTGTGAATTTAATCAGTATCTCAGCATTTAAAAACTCCACACTTTAAGAATGTTTTAAAAGGATTTTTAAAAAATTATTCTGAAGATGTTGGTATTAACGGATGCACAGTGATCTGTCAACTCTTGACAAGCAAGCATGACTTTAACACAATTTGAAGAAAGGTTCACCATCTTTACTATGGGAAGAAGTCTACACTGTATTTATTGTTTAATAAAATGAACTGCTTCCAACGCTAGCTAGATTAATTTACCTATTAGGTGAATTCTAACACAGATTTATAAACATTTTCAACAACAGCACAGAAACTTGTACAAGTATTCTTGTTCAGTCGTAATAGAAATTATCTTCTGGTGTAACATTATCACTGTACAGTCTCAAGTTTAAGCAATTCCAAAATTATCTGAAAGTGATTAACTATTAAAAAAAAGCAAACACCTATCTCCTCCTAAGAAGTTTAAGAACATAATACCTGAAGCTTCTCTTGGTTGGATGTACGGATGATAGAAGTCAGTATATCTGGCAAAGCTTCTCTAGGCAGATTGTCCAAAAGCCGTCTCAGCTTTGCAACTGCAGGGACAGACATATCCAGCATCTCGACCAGCTGTAACGAACACACAGTGAACAGTGTCCATAGCTGCTGTTATTTCTTTTTAAATTATTCGAGCACCAAACCTAAAAATTATTTCAACTTTCAGTGTGAAATTCGTCTAGGTATTTTGTCAAAAAGCTACTTAAATAAATGTTTTAAAATTTCACAGAAGTGGCACTAATTCAGCATAGGGCAATCAAGACTTAGAGCTTTCCACTTGTTTAAAAAATTAAACAATATCACCATTGTTTGCAGAGCTTTTTTCAAAGCCTGCATCTCTAATTTCCCCCCCGCACCCCTATTAAAAACTTGCCCAGTTATCTTAACACAATGATGACTCTTTCTGTACATCCTTTAAATTCAAATTCATTATAGTGGGGTATAGCTTTTTATAATTAAGGCTACAGAGGTTTTTTTTTCCCCCTTTAATAATTAATTTCTTTTAAAAAAAAAAATTACAAAAAACCAATCAAGTGTATAAATTTTTATATGCATGTATATAACCCTGGGAAAAAAAAAAAAGTATCCCTTTTACTAGAGCGTATTTACAGTATTAGAAAAAAGTTCTTTAATGTAAGGGTGATAGAATGGGAATGGGCTGCCCACAGAGGTTGTGGAGGCCCCACTTTTGGAATCACTCAAGGTAAGGCTTGATGGGGCTCCAAGCAACCTGACCTAGGTAGAGATGTCCCTACTTGTGTAGGGAGGTTGGACCAGATGACATCTAGAGATCCCTTCCAGCCAAAAACATTCTATGATTCTATTGCTATATATGAAATAATATCAAGCTTATTGTAGCACTAACAGACCCAGATAGATTCATCCTCTAATGAGCTGCATAGACACCCTGGAACTCCACACAGAAACCTTAAGCCATAACAAAAATATTTATTTTGTAGCAGACATACTGCAACTCTACTGGGCACCAAAAAAAAACCCCAACCCAACACAGAAAGAGCAGACAGGAAACAACCAGGATACATAAGACTAAAACAATCTACCTGCACTGCGTATTTGTAGAATTGTTCTGACAACTCTCCAAGTTCCTCCTCAGATTTATGCTGATTAGTAAACTGCTCAAGTCGATCTAACTGTTCAACTTCAGCTACAGGATACGGCTTCTCTTTGAGCAGCTGCAGGATCTGGAATCGGCAGAGGCCCGTAACAAGCAACGTGTAATGTGGCTTGGGCCAGTTGCTACCAACCACCTGAACCGCCAAGGCAGCAGTGCCAATCCTAAAAACAGATCAAATTTTTGTATTATTTGTCACTTTCCACTGAATATTTTGTGTTTACCTTATCAAGAAGCAAGTGAACTATAGCTTGCAAGAACCTTGTAGGTCTTAGTTCCTTATCATGAAAAGCAACCAAATTATACTATTTCTTTTGTAACACAGATAACAAAACCAAACCCTAAAACGTGAAAATGAATGAGCTAACTGAAAAACTAAAATAACACAATATAGTCGCTTGACTTAGAAATGTATGCAATTTTTTTTTCCACAAATAATTTAAGGGATCTTGCTGCAGACAGGAACATTGACATTTCTGCTCTAAGTATACTATATGCATGGGAAAATTGAGCGTTTGCAATTTACAGTTATCCAATGCAGTTGTCTGCCTCGTTCTGAAAAAAATGTTTTAGATCAGATTTAAGCAGATTTAAAACAAGTTATTTTCTTGCAAAACCTTATTAAATTCACTGACGTGATGAAGTTTTGCAAGTAAGCGTGTTAGTTTTACTCACACTTTACCCCACCGAAATACAATTCGTTTTCGTTTTATGTGAAGTAGGTGACTGTCCATGCTATTTATTAGGTGAAAAATGTTATCGTTAATAATTGTGACAGCCTTACTGCTCCTGGCCCACGTTCTTTGATCCTATTTTTCTCTTCCACCTTCGTCTCCTTTTTCACACTTTTCTCGCAGACGCCAGTCGGACAGTGCCCGACACCGCGATCCCCCCATCGGACGCTCGCCCGGCGCAGCGAGACGAGTTTCTCGGACGGGACAAGCGCTTCGCACGCGGCGGCGGCGCGGCAAAGTCTCGCCCGACCCCGCGGCAAGGCCAGCCCTGCTCCCGGCGATC